CTCAAACTGAAAGCAATTTAGTGAGAAACCCCTTGGAGTTGGATTGATCCTGTTAGATTGATCTAGGTATGGGAACTTAGTCTAATGCTTGATACACATTTTACTTTCATCCTAATCCAATGTTATGCAGAATAAGAATTTGATGTTGGCTATGCAGTTACAGTAAGCATAATACATTAGTTCATCAGAATTGACAGTATCCTATTTCCTGCGTTTTTATTTTCTGGTTTTTGTCTGTACATTTGACAGCTTTGCTGCCTTGTTTATGTTACAATTAAGATATGTTATTTTGAAGAGAATCATGTTCAATTTTGAGAGATATATTTTGAAATATATTCTCAATGGAATCTTTTCCCTTGCAGACATCTGTACAAACCCATGGTCAGCAGGGGCTTCAACAAACTTTACGCTTCAATTGTTGTGTTTCTTGTGTCAGCATTTTTCCATGAGGTAAGCAAAGGCGCGTACATATGAAAACATCAGAATTTATTTGGATTGCACATGACAAGTCTCTGTACATCTAAAATGCATGATTAATGATACACCTTTCAATTTGAGCTAGACCAGTTTGAAAGCAATGTTTGAAGAGCAGAAACCAATAAGTAAATTTTTTTACATCAGAATGAATCCATCTTAAAGATAACCCATGCTTATTGGTTTTGAATTGTAAGTTATAATAATTGTTCTCATTGCAGTATATGGATATAGACTATGTATATATTTCTAATGTGTTTATTGTCTTGACCTCCAGTACTTGGTCAGTGTGCCCCTGAAGATGTTCCGTGTCTGGGCTTTTATGGCTATGGCTGGACAGGTAAAGACAATGGGCAGAGCACAGAACTAGGAACATATTTTTTAACAGCAGTATTTTATTAATTTTTAACATTAACAAAAAAAAAAAAAAAAAAAAAAAACACTTACACTTGAAATGATTAGACAAAATCTTTAATGACAATGACCCTTTTAAATATAATAGTTTCTCTGTTCACTATTATCCATTAAATGTAATTTATCATTTCCAGATTCCATTTGCACTTTTTGTCTCCAAGTTCTTACATGGCCAGTATGGCAACATGGCGGTGTGGGTATCCCTCATCATTGGACAGCCACTGGCCATTCTCATGTACTTCCACGACTACTTTGTGATGCGGAACACGGATATCCCTGGAGTCACCAACCCTATTACACAGTAGTGGCTACCTCAACACTTGCCCTTGCAGACTTAAGAGATTAAGATTGAAGAATTGCATTAGGGGTTGTAAAATATTTAATAGTATTATTAGAAAGGACAGAAGTTAACAATAAAAAAACTATTTTTAGGAGAATGGATTATGGAAAAGTGATTAATTGTTTAAGGTACCATTGGTTTGGGGGAAAATGAACAGTACTGATTAAAATGGTTTACATGTAGGAAGGAATTGAAAAGATTTAAGTTTGTTCTGACACATTTTGATCACTGAAATAGCCCAGGTAATGGTTGTAAGGGTTTTTAAAAGATTATATTTCTGTGGAAAGCTATTAAGACAAATGTCTGTATTAAGAAAGGGTGCACCTGTACTAAATTGTATAAAAAAACTAGATTTTACTGTGAAATTAAATTGTTAATTAAATGATTATATTATTACATGACATAGATTGTTTGCTCATTTATCATTGCACATATATATTGTTGCAATTGACTGAAACGTGAGAACTGTCTTTAAAAAGAATAATGGGGTTTGTTTTTCTGAACAAATGCATACATGTTTGATAAATGATATATTGGGGATGGGAGGGGGGATCCATAAGAAAGGTCAGCACTCGTAGCTTCATGGCAACAAATGGTAACCAATTTTTAAAGATTGTTTTAATCAAAAATGATGTACAAAAGGTATTTATTATGGACAGACACAATGTGACTGAACATATAGCCATCGCCTGCATTTGTTTTTGCTGTTGGCTTGGCCTTGGACTTTCTTCAATTTTTGCTTGAAAACACTGCTAGTTATTCTTTAACTTAAAGGAAGGAATGATTGATAGGACAATATACAGCTCATGATAAGTTTGAATGCCAGCCTGATTTTACTATTATGATTTCTTTTCTTTGTTTTTTTTTTGTGTTGTTTTCCTTCTTTTTTTCTTGTTTTTATGTGGCTTTGAATTTTCATGGGTCTGAAACCCTGTGCTGGTAATATTTTCTGAAAGTCTGCTGTAACAGAAGCAATAATTTCACATTTGTTGTGATTGTGCTCGTAAGAATTAAGTAATATTTCATCAAAGTTGTTGAAGACGTGTTTTGTGAACAACCATTGCTTTAAAAATTGGTTGTTCATATTAAGTCTGTTTCAGTGACATTGCTTCTAAGCGCTGCCTCATTTTTGTGTCTGTCAATTTGACGGCAATGCTGCCTCTTTATTTGTATGTATATTTGTATGTATGATTAAAATTTATAAGAAATGCTTACAAGTATCATGTTTAGGGATAAACTACTTTAGATCCATGTGTATCCTAAAGTTTTCAATTTAAAGATGTTAAATAATGATAAAAAGTGTTTATTTGCTGTAGCAAAGTATGTCATTTTAATGCTATAATATAGATAATGGTTATAATGTTTAAATTAACTACAACCATGAAATGTTTTGTATATTTAGTTTAAATCCGTAATGATATTTTCAATCATGCACAATATTTAGTAGTAAGATGAAATTTTTTTGTAATAGACTGTCTTGTATTGGATATGGTGTTATGTTCAGTGTGATTTTCTGTCTTATTATGCTTCCAATACAATTAATGTTTCTACTTCATGTATGTTCAATTGAATCTAAAAGCAGTATTTTATCAGCTCAGTCAACTGTTGTGAGTTTACAGCAGATCAGTAAAGAATTGTGGTAGCAGCCAGCAAAGTTGTACATCTTAAGATTAGTGAACAACGGTTTTGTGGATTATAGTATGACAGATTTGTTACCTGCCCGTATATGTAGGGCATGAATCAGTTCTAGAGAACATCCTATTAATAGCTCATATTCTAAATTTCATCTGTCTAGAATTCAGCCAACTAAAACATAACTTGGATTCTAGCCTAATAAATCTTTTTTTTCCAAGTAATGAAGTGTTTTTGAGATTTGCTCATCTTTCACAAACTTGCATTTTTCAGGTTAAATCTTCTGGATGTCAAGAGTCATGTATGGTGCAAAACTGGAAATTGGTAATGACTATGCTATAACAACCTATTTAATATTGCATCAAAAAAAAAAAAATTTGTGCTATGACATCATTGAGTCATTGGTTGACCTTTATTCGTCCTTTATATGTCTGCCCATTTGGAAGCTTTGATGTCTTGTCAAAGAATTGCTAAGAAAACATTTCTGTAGGTAATATACCTAACTGATTAATTTTATGAGAGCAAGCTGCCCTGAAAAAATAATGATCATTCATATGATGAAAAGGTGATGTTAGTATTAGACCTGTAAGATAAGTACAGTAACAGTGTACTTGCAGGCAAATTTATAAAAGTGCTGTGAAATTTTGAAGCTTGCTTTAGCTTCGGAAAATGTGGAAATGTTAATGTTAAAAAGGATAGAATTATAAGTCTGTTAAAATAATAGACAAATTTTTCACTTGCATTGAGCATAGCAAAGATTTTGTTGTAAGTGCATCGCTTTGTGAGATTGTGTGCATGATTAGAAGATTATTATAAGTTAGTTATGTGGTTGGTTGATTGCTACCACAGCCAACTGTGGGAACTAGTGATCTGTTCTTGTAAAAGAATTATATGCCAGTGATGCGAAATAAATATCACTTTTAATACAAATGCTCTTTACGTATATGATTTAGAAATATGAATTCAAAATCCTAGGTCTGCATTTACTAATTTACCTTGGAAAGAGAAGCAACTGCCAGGACTCCTGATCTTATAGATGTTTACCTTATTTTGTACAGACACTGTCTGTATATTTTCTAATTGGTCTGTCTGTTCGTGTCGTCGCCGTTACTGTCACTGTCCGACATATGATGTTTGCTTCATAACTTCCAAACTGTATTTTTGTTTTACGTTATATTTACTGAGTGGCTTTGTTTGGTAAAGAGGCAGATTGCTTTTGAAAATCGGCATGATCGGTTTGCATTTAGGATCATTGTTCCACCAAAATATTCGCATTCTGTTTTTAACCTGAAAGTAAGTATGCAGTGATCTAAGCAGAGAGAAGTGCATCTTACATATATCTATATTATTACTTAATCTTGAAGTTAGCTGATCCAGCTTGTTTGAGTTAAGCCACTTCCAAAACCCTAAAACAAGCTGTCAATTGGCAGTCTGGCTATGTTTATGTAGATTGATGCATGATATTCGTCCAGACTGTTCAATAAAGACCTTAGGTTTTTTGGGTTTTTTTTATGTCACAGAAAAATATCCAATTACTGAAAACATTCAAATAAATTGTGCATGTAATTCAAAAATTTATTTGCTAAAATTATCTTGGCTATTTGGCAGAGAAGGAATGGTACTTTACAGCACTCATTAATCATACTCATCAATTATTAAAGCAGAAATTTACAAAATATTGTCCCACAAATGACAAAAAATAGATTACTAGAACAATTAATTATATAATTAAAGAATAAGCATACATATATGTTTATTTCCAGTTTGCCGAATGCTTGTCTGCCTAATGCTTGTTCTATCCTTACAGAAAATTAGGCAGATCAATTTTTTGTATATTTGTTTAGTTCTGTGCCTTTATTCTCTCGTGGTATGTGCATTATATTCATTCAGTGTTAAAATAAAGTCGTTTCTGCAATCGTGATAAATGGTCATCTAATGCCTAGTATATACATGATGGTCTAGCTAACATTGCTTTTACAGGGTAGTGTCTATAGAAGTCTGGAACTAGACACATACATATACATATATTGATTTTGATTTTATTCAATTTCTTCCCCCCCAAAAAAAACAAACAAACAAAGAACAAACACACACACACACACACACACACACACACACACACACACTATAAATTTGTGCTATGCAGTCAAGTCCACACACAGCACATGCATCTATGTAAGGTAAACATAACCTATTCATACAGGTGGAATGTTGCTCTAGCTTATTTGCCCATAAAAATTCAGTACTCTTACTATGCTGGCAAATGTGGTTACTATGTGGTCTGTGATAGTGGTGCTTACATGTTCACATTTAACTGTAAAATCAGTAGTCCTTATGAAGTAAGGAGGTAAACATTTTAAAGCATCACTGACCCACCTAAATTTTAAGCAACTCAGTTTTTAAATTACACTATTGTTGCAGTAACAAGTACTATAAATTTAAAAATTGAGATCTTTAGCATGAAGAGGTGAGAGTCAAGTCAAATTTAACAATATGGCAGGATATAAAGAAGTGAGTTAAAAAAACAAAACATTAGACAGATGGATATAAAATTTTTCTGTTGGGCATATTCCAAACAACTTATTTCACCAGCTTTTAAATTCATTAGCAGAAGTAAGGCAATCAGCTGTATGACATGTGTTAGCTATACAAGAAGTAGATATGTCTGGGGATTATTTGGTTGTGCAAAAAGGTAGTCAAGATTCACTGTGTTGATAAAAGTGACACATAAAATAGTTGATAATTTTACAAATAATGCTGTTTGGGAAAACAAAATGGCAGGGACTGAAGTTTCAAAATGCTGACAGCAAGTGAAATTAAACACTGATCATTATCTATCATATTGCTAGCTCTATAATTAAAATCAATTTACCTAAAATACTTAATCTGATACATTATTATGACAAAACAACATCAGTGATAATGCAACTGCATTACACAGTTTACAGATGTACACAGTTTGAATTAAGACATTTGGAGAGATAATTACAGCTTTCGTGTTTTTCACATTTGCTATCCTAGATTCTGTCCCCATTTGAAATTAAATAAATGGATGGATTCAGTTCTGTTTGTACACTTGCTTACATTAAAATGATACATGTAGAAATAATTTTTTTTATAAATCTCAATGTGTGTGTGTGTGTGTGTGTGTGTGTGTGGGTGGGTGTGGGTGGATGGATGGATTGATGGATGGATGGATGGATGCATACATATGAATGGTGGTTTCATAAATGTAACCAGTGTCATATTAATAAATCATTCTATCTGTCATCACATTGGTAATCCATAAACAAGTGCAATTACTAACTAAAGGTTTCATTAACACCCCCTCCACCCCCCCAAAAAAAAAAAATAGACCAAAAGGAAAAAAGTACTATAGCGTATTTAAAAAGGAAAGCTGTTGTTACATGTATCTGCAAGCAATTTTCACTATTTGTTTGATAAGTCTCTTTTACCAAGCTGACTGACCTAGCTAGTTAATGCTCTGAATTTCCTGCCAAAATTATAGTACTGCTAGGGTCTTGTTATTCCATCTTGGCTTTGTCTGGTGAACTCAGACTTCAAGTGTAAATTAAGTGTGTGTGAATACATATGTTGCATGCTCAGTCCAATTTCAGGATTTTAAATCTACCTGTTTTACATATAGTCCAGATGGCAGCTTGTTTACCTGTAGGTAAAATTCGAAAACAACTTAGTATTGATATTAAAAAAAGATCTTTATGTAGTTACATGAATATTGTTGAACTGGGACAGAAAACTGCATGTGTATAGTTTTGTGTGTGTGTGTGTGTGTGGGGGGGGGGGGGGGCTTGAAGTGACTAAAATATGAACAATATTAAAAAGGGACTGAGAGGGACTGACATCAGGACCACAAAGCGACACTATAGTGCAAACCTCAGTGGAGATATGGGGGTCTGATGGGGAAGTTGATCGCAATTTGTTAACACATGACATAAATAATTTATGATTTCAAGATAACTTGTTTACAAAGAGGAAAATTATTCCAACTGCTTCTGTAAATAAAAGCAAATATGGAATTGGGGGGGGGGGGGGCAACCTTTTGATGACACAAGAAGTGAAAACACTACAAGTGGAAAACGTTTCTGAATTTCCCCCACCGAATGCACATGATATGATGCATAATACACTATAAAAAATTAAAAATAAAGAAAAAACTTCCATATTTCTACCAAAGTTATGACATGAAAGTGGTGTTTTGCCCGATTTATCTTGAAGATTTTTGTTGTGATATTTACAAACTTTACTTTTTTATGTTTTATAGAAAAACACTGTGTCTAAACAGTCATTACCTAAATCTGTCATCTCCATTATTTTTGCTATTGTCATGCACTCTCTCCCCTCTTTCCACACACACACACACACACACACACACACACACACTCGGAGTGGTGTGTCAGTTATTGTAATAGTTGTGAAATTAACAAGAATGACTAAAATACAGCTCTAGCTTGAAAACCACTCTGGAACTTGCAGTTAAGCATGAAAATAAAATTGCACAGACATTGACATGTTCCGTTTTGTTGGCTATATGGCAGTCATAATGAACATTTTTGTTCAGTCTTTTATGTAGTTTGAGAAACATTCTGAGAATTTTGTCCTTACATATGCATTTTGAATGAAACAGTTTATGGAAAATGGTTGTTATCTTTGGTATTAATAAAATAACAAAGCGTAACTAAACCCAATTAAAGTTGTACTTTTAAGAAACAAGACCCGTACTTCTGGACATCTATAATTTTGTCACAGGACCAGATAATACTAAATCATTTTATTTGTGGGCTTACACTATACAAAGCAGTCTTGGGTTTGCAAATTTTCTAATCATTATTTATTAAAGGTATGGGACTCACCTTGAGTTATAAGCATGGGTAATATATATACATTGGACCGATTACATTTTCTCCAATTGAGGTCCAGTTTTTACTGCAGCGGTGCCTACTGACAAGGACAATATTTCAATGGGAGCACACTGTGTGAGGTGTAGTACCGCAGTTGCATATAATAAATATTCCCACTTTTTTATAAGAAAACTGAACACTTCAGCAATATTTAAAATATTAAAAAAATTAGTAAAAAACAAAATAAAAATTTCCATTGACTGATTAGAAATTGTTGTAGCAAAATTAACTTTCAGAAAAACCGGATATAAACGGCTAAACTTATTTGGCTTGTCTCTTATAAGAAATCACTCAACAGTGGGCTTCATTTCTCATCCCCATAGACAGCAGATACACAGACATAACTCCCAATGGCCCCAAAAATATACTGTCATCAAGTGAACTTTCTTACCGGCATTACTTGAACATGTGCACCCCTCTGTTTGTAAACAAACCGCTGCACCGCTCACAGTGAGTAGCTCCCTCCGCCACAGGTCTCACGACTGCACGGCACCTGTGCCTGGTCCTGAAAAACAAAATTGCCAGTAGTTTACACCCTAGACTGTTAGTTGACATCATAATTAACGCTAGCAACACACAAAAAATGCCAGGAAAAAAATGGAAATAAGCACTAATTTTCTCTCGCTGAACTACATTCGTCTATAACAGTCGATGATTGGTTAATTTACTGGTACCTATCTGCATTCGAGTGACCTANTTTTTTTTATTCAGCACTATTTCATTGATACTTTTAATGCTGTTATATTGAAGATCATTTGCAATAATTATATAATATAATTAACATCTAGAAAATGGGGTCCCTGAGGGTGCGCTGATATTTTTTTTAAATATTATTATTATTATTATTTAAATGTTGGGAAGAGAAGGAATACTCAGTGGGTACCCATCAACACCATCTAGCTTACCAGTGTCAAGGGTATGATGATCAAACTAAACAATAAAAAGATAAATCGGGTACAATCCCTACAATCCGATCAGAACTCCCTGGGATACACTGTACGCAGGGGGCATTGTGCCCATCCATATATATGGATTTGTCCTTCAGGTGCACGCACCAGCGTTAGGTAGGGCGATCAAATAGCTTTTGTATGTCACATAATAATCAGGTACTATTCTTTAAACAGCTATTGGACATTTCGTTGGCGAAATTTATTCTACTCCTGTAACATGGTATTGGTTAAAAGTAGTCACTGATAAATTTGGTAATAATATTTAAATAAATAAACTTTCGAAATAAACCGGAGGGAATATGCTTCCACTCTATCTTTCATTCCCAGCAAGAGGGTTTGAACTAAATGCGCAACGTTTGGATAAAATATTAAAGGTACATTTGAGTTTTATTTATCAGAGAGACTTTTCTCAGAAGTACACACTTCTAAAGAAATGCCTGCGTATTTACACAATATTCCATAATCTAACTTCCCTGGAAATAATATCATCGCATGTGAGAATATTCCTGATCTAAAGTAGAAACTTGCTTGCACATATTATGAGCTTCAACCGTGCCCTTTAATTTAAACTAAATTTTGTTCTAAGCATATTTACCGTCGATTTCCTTCTGCCAATTGTTCATCCACGTAGTATAGCGAGTTTTTATCGTTGATGTCTTTGTTTGTCAGATGTATTGCCCTGTTATTGATATCTTTCATAGTGTACCTGTACAAGAAATAGAATGATAAATAATTAATTAAAAACTCAGTGTTCACCCATGGACAGGGTGGACGTGGGTTTTAACCCATCCTTGGACATGTCAACCCTTTATCTGCATCTGCTGTCTCCCAGCTTGGCACTCAGCTAGGGTTAAGTACTTGGTCTGACAGTGAAAGATGGCACCAGTTTTGATGGGCATAACCCCAAACCAAATCCTAGTATAAAAAAAACAATCTACATGTGCACGCATTCAAAGCAAATGTGAATTTGCAAATTCAATAAACAAACCTGCTTACCACGCTTTTTTTTTTTATTTTGTGTTATTTTGAGGTGAGGGGACGTAGCTAATATGGAATAAAAGAAAGGGATAAAATTTATGCACTTACTTTTCAACTGATATCCTCACAAGACCCTCGGGGTTGACATATATCCGAAGAGGGTTAATACTGGTGACATGGACATATACCCTTAAATCAATCTTGGATCCGTTAACCAACAGTGGATTGGATATATACCTGTAGGAAATACCGATAAAATTAAAGACAGTTTAAAGTTACAAATATACTCTCGATGCCTATCCTTTCTATATATTTCATATTAATCATACATTATAATTTAGTCTTAATACATGCACACAGAATGATAGTCGCAGGTCATATAATGTACGTATAAATAATATTTACAAACGGCAACAATTTACAAACGACAACGGCACGAGAGCAAAAGAACACACTTCATCCTAATATATCGAATAACAAGAAGCTGCAAACATCAAATCACAAGCACTAAGAAGTACCGTGTATTCAGTTTCAAAAAATAAAAAAAAAATTAAAAAAATAAAAAACATCAACCACTGCATACATTTTTATGTCCTGTTTAATTTAAAGTAGTTTGAAATAACCCTCTTACCTTTGAACAACGGTGTGTTCCTTTTTGGGAACCTTCTTCCAGTCTTGGACTACTTCAATCCCTCTTCCCCCAAACGCGCACGGCTGTATGAAGATATGAAATAATCGGTTTTACATGAAATCACCTTCTCCAAAGTAAAGTGTCTTCTTCGCTGCTAAAACATTTAATAAACCAATACTGGAGTATGTGGATAAACCACGGAACGCCCACTTACAAACCAATTTTTTTTCTAGACGGACGCACTCATTGCCATCCTATCAAAGCATCAGCTATTTTTCGGTCAACTTACCCCGCCTACCACCATAATTTCGAACCAGATGAAACAATTTAGGAAGAAGATCTTTATAAGGCACTGTAGACACAAACTTGGGCTGTACATAATTTACGCTATAGCATGTCCTAATTCATACTTGTGAGCTGATATTTGTTGTTGCTCACGAATCATATTTTAAAGTTGTTTTAACAAAAGTATATTACCTCTTTGATCGGATGACTTTGTGTTCGGATAGCGGTACGACAAGAATGTCTAGGAACTGATGTCCGTTCCCCATTGCTTTGTACGGTTGACATTCGTCCCTTATACTCCGACCTACCCTATCCTGGCTAATCATATGAGACCCCGGACTTTCAATTTTAGGACTGACATTCCTGTCACACCAGTATGTCCGCCTCTGGGGAGGGGGGGGGGGTGTTAACGTGAATTCTACCCCGTCCGTGGACAACCAGTCCCTCATATAAACTTAACAGTTACATTTTTATTCCCCTTTGGTTTGTACTCTATCACTTTATTAAGGCGAAGTAAAATAAATAATTCATTTTAAATATTCTTATTAAATATAAGACAAATATATATTTCTATATGTATACCAACCGGTTTCAAGAGCCAGGTCCGGTGTTTGTCGCTGCTATTCCATGCTCTCTTCAGAGCAACCTTGTCTTCTGGTAAAACAAACGTCTCTGGGAAGATCCCATAGTCTTCCTCGCCGTATTTTGCTTTAAACCTTTGAAGATTACGCCCTAGTTGATCTTTGCAACCCAAGGCCCAACTGTCTGGGATGTGGTTGAACTGAAGAGGAAAGTAATATATGACCATTCAATGTACATCCAATTCTACTCAATGCATATGGCCTTGAGGCGCGTGCTTTTGAATTGACATTCATCTTTGAAATATAGTCATCTCAGTATTGAAAGGGCATATCTTACTTAATTAACATTCAATAATAAAATAACGCTACCGTAGGTAATGTCGCAATCTGAGTCAACTTAAAGTTTGATGTTATGATATCCCTCTGTCACAGTTGTCTACACTCGGCATTTATAAATATAATTTACACATATAAGTTGAAGGAAGAAAGCTGAACTTTGGAAGCTATTTAGTTATTTGCAAAAATATGGAATAGATTTTCCCCACCTTTTGGTGCGGTAGGACGGACAGATAGTCCCTCGCCATGTTGATTTGATAGGGCAGACCGTAAAATACTATGTATTCCCACACATCTTTATGTACATGTAAAACCAAAAGATTGAATTACAAGCAAATACCGCATATAAATAAAAACAAATATAAAAAAATATAAGCAAATAAAATAACATGCTTCTGTAGACGTAATAATGATAACAAATGAATTAATACGTGAGACAAACCAGTCGATTGGTTTATACATTAATGCCTAAGAAAACAAGAAATATATTGATCAATTATACAGACTGTTTTGGCATACAATGCACACAGTTTAAATACGTAACAGAGTTTTCTGTCCATGTAAAATATACCGTTGGATTACATTACCGTTTGAATTTTTCTACATTTTATAGCACTATAATTACACATGCAGCGGACAGTGTTATAATTGTGCATGCATTTACAGCACTCTGAAACATCCTGTGGAAGCATGGTATATTGTTCATATTAACTGCACCGGTAAAAAAATGTAACTGCGTGTTATTTTGGAATCGTACCTTGAGTTTGGGTAAACCCAGATAAAGAAACATAAAAGGCAATAGGTGAAGATGGGCTAGCATAATACTTTAAACGGTCTCGTATTGTTTGGGGAAGTTCCTCAACTGAAACATGGCATAAGATAATTATGTTAATTTAGTGTGACGTGTGTACATGCAAGATACACTGTACCAGTACACATACGCACAATTATGTATATATATAATTATGTACCTAGATCGATACTGTACTGAAATGTGGATCAAACTCACAACATTTTTGGTGCACTAATATTCACAGATGTAAGTCATAAGAAAATCTGGCCCTCTTACAGACTACAATTCCCCTCACAAAAATATTATAACTACCGGTTATGTACCTATGAATTACGAAAAGCAAAGGATAGGGCAAAATTGTTGGCTTATCTTACAAATATACCCTTTACCTTTTTGATCGGGCCTAACAAAGTTAATTGTTGGCGGCACGTTTGAAAATAAACTTGGTGTTAAGGCGGGTAAAACGTTGTCCTTGACTTCAATTTCCTCTGCAATTCCTTCAGTAAAAAGTGACACTGGCTTGCCTGAAGAACAGTCGGATATCCGGGCCGATGGCCCCTGCTCTCCATCTATGTGTAACTTGACCGGGCATTCGTTTAATGGTGCGCTATGTGTAGTCGGACTCTCACCTTTTGAGTAAAATGTCCAAACATGATTCTGTTGCCATTGTACTATGTGTAGTAACTCCTATTTTCATGATATTAAAAATAGATTTTGACAGATTACATTGACAGAGATAATATTTTTAATTTACTAATTTTTTTTTCGAAAAATCACAAACCGGAAAGATGGGAATATGGATAACCATATTCTCTATTTAATGTTGAATATCTGGACTGGGATTTGAAATATTCTCGTCAGCAATATTGATACAATGGTCATCAACTAACTTATTTCCTATAACGTACCTGAAACATTTGCGCTGTTGGCTAAAAGTAGTATAACAGTAACACAAATGCAACAATCCATGATACTTCTGGTCATCTTCACCAAGGCTGACTCCATGTTTTCAGCCTAAAGTGTGCGAGTGGTTGAATAGTACCAGAAAAAAAATATAGTCGTTCAGATATACACGCATACTACATGTAGTATAACGTTGACAGGGGCGTCGGGGACCCAAACGTGTAATCAGCAAAAGATAACAAGGCAATTAAGGTGAGTGGAAACAAAACGCATCTGATAAGTCTTTACTCTTGAATATATATGTGCTCTCGGCTGGATAACCGCGGTGTTGGGTTTAGGACAGATTGCTCACCTGAGTCAATTAACGACGTTAACTGACCTATTATCCAGACCCCAAGCAAATTGACAGGCGGCTATTTCACTGGCTATCTTTTAATTGGTTTGGAAGACAGATAAACTGCGTTAATTATTCTATTAACAGTCACTTTATAGCACCTGTAAATCATACTACTGCATATAAACGGCACACGGGAAATGCTATCGGTATCTGTAGACATCACCCAGTCTGATAGCCTATAATAACAATTGCGGTACATGTTTCATGATTTACATGTACGAGTCGCAGAGTTGTATAGAAAAAAGGTGAAAGCGATGTTCGGCTGGTTTGCACGTGGACCCGGTTGCAGGAACTGTGTATAATATTATACCACAGACAAGATGACTACCTTTGCAGTCATCCTGTATACATTCTATGATATGAAATGATATTGATCAATAGCATCTGGAAAAAGACGCCGCCAGATCTAATGCATTGTAATTGCATTCTATTGCTTGTCGATTGTATGTTAAAGGATTTGCTTCATACCGTCANCGTGATCACGTGGTCTGATGACGACAATCGAGCCACTGGAGAACAGAGCGCGCTTAGCTGTCAAACTGAGCTGCATTGTCTACCTGTAAGATGACTTCTCTGGCTTCTGATAAAAGTTAATACTCATTCAAATCTCTTACCCGAGAGATCTAAATCCTCATGAAGCTGTGTAAAACCATTCCCGTCCAGTCAATTCTTTAACGAGCATTTAATTATGGTTATCCCAAGTTGTATAAAACACTGCATTTGAATGAGTAAAGGGTACTGTGGATTATTGCATATTAGGGCCATGTTATTTGTGAAATTCAATTAATTTTATTAAACCGCTGACACTCCGTCTTGGATACTTTTCTTAAACTGAGGTAAACGATGCCCGTTACCTTTACAAGTCCCATGTTAATCATCCATCTAACTGGAACTTCCTTTACCTCTTAATTAGAGGGTTAAATGGCTGGCGATATTTATCTCAGGTAAAAATCTACCTGTGCTTTAGTTTCAAAGAGCAGCTCCCGCAGACCTGGGGGTACTAGATAAAATCTGAACACCGGGAGAGCAATTACCGTGAGAGCAATTACTTTTATTAATGTTCGCGACGGTGTTTGAACTCAATTGTTTAAATATTGATATTAAACGTCATTTACAAATACCAATAAAATCACCCCATGCAATAAATGAGATATTTTGAAAAATATGAAAGCCCACCAAGACGATTTTGATACCTGTTATTACCTGGGTTGGGAAGTGCAGCGGTGCATTATTAACAGGTTTGTTGTAAACGAGCTTTTGGTCAACTACAATGCATTTAAAATGCATCAGCAATCAGTAAGCTTGCCAACTGATGACAGTTAATCTGAAAGACTACCAGCTCTTGATATGATCTAAACCACCTGAGGTGACCATGATCTAGAGCATCGCAACTATTGTCACCGAAGTTAGTAAGTCACGGAAGACCGTCACAGACAAAGAAAGATTGTCAAAGAGAGCTGCAATTTTGGTGAATCCCACGGCAACACACCGAGGCATAACGAAAATTCCTCAACTCCGTTCAACACAACTTTCCTTAACTTCTCCGTCTGTACAGTATGCACCATGCAGCTCAGTTGAGTCTCATAGACCTTTATCGTGATTGTCGTCACAGTACCACGTGACCTAGATATGTTGCTTCGTTTATGCATATTGAGGTGAGGTTTACTAAAACGCTTTTTGTCTACTAATAGATTGTTTTTATAATTTTTAAATGACGGGGATCGATTAAAACATAACTGTAGTGTATAGATTAAGTGCTGGATCTTCAGAATTCGAGAAATGGATTTTTATATGATTATTGTCCTTTAATGCTTATTTCTACAGCTCCTCTTTTACATTCAATACTATTTAGGGCCAGAGGCAAGTATACAGTACGTACCTCTCTCTCTCTCTCTCTCTCTCTCTCTCTCTGTGTGTGTGTGTGTGTGTGTGTGTGTGTGTGTTCGAGTTCGAATATTGGGGGGGGTTTGTGTCAACTTTTGTCAGTGCTCTTTATTTCTTTACTGCACACATTTTGGTCTTCCTCTCAATAGTAAAACCATCTAGATCATTAAAATAGTCCACGTCAAATGACCTAATTAAGTTTTCTAATGCTAACTTCATTATACATGTATCTTGTCAATCTACTTCCTTCAAGGTGTATTAAACGGCTTTGCATGCCCTTGCGTCCTTCTCGAATCATCTTGGCTCAGTTAAAATCTATTGCGATGTGTCATTTATATATTTAGCTGTCTAATTATTACTCCGCCAAGGAGGTTATGTTTTCACCCCTGTTTGTCTGTCTGTTTGTTTGTTTGTTTGTTTGTCATCAACATAACAAAAGAAGTGTTTAGCATTTGGTGGTGATCTGGATCAATAATCAATCAATAATCAAAAATCAACATAACTCAAAAAGTATTGGACCGATTTTGATGAAATTTTCAGGGTAGGTCAGAAATGGGTAAACTTAGATGAGTTACGTTTTTGGTGATGATACAGTTCAATAATCAATCAATAATCAAAAACCAATCATCAACATAACTAAAAAAATTATGGACCGATTTTGATGAAATTTTCAGGAACTGTCGGAAGTGGTCCAAGGAAGAGATGATTAGTTTTTGGTGGTGGTCCGGATCAATAATCAATCAATAATCAGTAACAATAAAAATCGCTGCCTTGGCGGAGGTCTGCGCTCTCGGAGTTCTTTTCTAGTTATTATTATTATCATTATTATTATTACATTTATCCCCTTGTATAAGATAAATCCCATTTACAATACTATCAGTAACCAAATCGATTTGAATGGCATAAATGCACAGGCGAGCACAAACCAGCAGTGTTATTTCTATTTCGCATTGAAACATTGAGATGCTGTTACCATGATGAAGCTGTAAAAGTGATTTAATCCTAAATGTATATACATTGATTGTGGGATAGAGCTAATGGCAATACTATTGTCACTTGGATCGTTAAGGCTGAAGATGTTTTTCCTCCCGACAGTACGACTCTAAAATTTGTATTCCCTCCTCTTCGTTTTGATCGTAGCGTTGAATCCACTGGTCGAGTAGGATATTGTAATATCTAGAAAAAATAAATTAAAAATCAAGACTTTGTGGTATCGACAACTCTTAAAAATGGAACATAAAAATGGATTCATAATTATGTTAATCAGAAGAAGTACCTACACTACACGTCAGTCATGTCACGTGCCGCTTCCATATCCAGATGCTACTTAACATTATATCAAGTACAAAGCATGATGAAAAAAAACTACTGTTGGGAATTCCATGTCATTACCTTGGCCGCTCAAAGAATTTGTGATATATCCTAGTCTCTGGTGTTGGGAATATCCTTTCGAATTGTCCTCTTCGGTTGTTTTCGTCCATTGTTTCAATCAACATTCGGATATCATCGGGTGTGAGTGTATCCAGTATTGTAGGTAGGGTCATCTGCAATTGTGATGATAACTGTTACTGGTAATTCCATAACAAGCAAAAAAAATGAGGTAAGTCACAATTATACAAAAATATACAATATGTAGGCACCACTGACCTGATTCGCTTATTCAGAATTATCCATGTTAAAGCAACCATAGCTTGGACCGTAAATATTTTCGCCAAGAAATGGCGCGCCCTTGGATTATACAGTCACACTGCAAAATACATGTGTTGTCTAAAATGAATTGAATACCATGATTAAGACGCCTCGTCACTTGCTTAAGGGTTTTATTGCAAAGAAACAATACATATATGCGAGCAAATTAACTCACCTCATCTTTGATGGTCGTGTATGTCTGATGTTTTTCCTTTTCTTCCTCAGTCAGCTGTTGTGTCCACAGTCTACGGTCCATGAGAAGGTCTTTGGGAACTGTCTCTGGGCTTATGTAAAAATGTGAAGTTGCAAAACAATTACCTGCATGTAGACGGTAATTATAGTTAAGTGAAATGTGTCAGAAGAATGACATATGGCGTACTCCAACTATTTTGCCTATAGTGCAATGTTTATGCCTTGAAACTACTATGATCATGCATGTCCAATCAATTAAACTGAGGCCCAGCTGTTTTACCTGAAAACATGTTTGGCAAGTACGGAATGGAGTTAACAACGAACAGTTCTGAAATTCCGCCGCATGGTTTTCATACGTTTAATGTTCAAAGTAAATATATAAAAGCCCAAGCTATATATGTTATATATAAAAGTTCTCATAAAGAAATAGTGCGTTTATTTATACTTTTGGGAAGTTCGACAAGACTATTTATAATAATTAACCCCAAAAATAAAATTAAGGCTGTAACCTGTGTTTCAGTTTTGGTACCATGTCTACAGTTGGGATCTGAATACCAGCTAGGTTTAACATAGACGTCAGCAAGGGATCCATCAACTTAACAACTATATTCTTATCGAACCTAAAAGAATAAAATATATACATGTATATATCAACAAAGCCCGTAGAAGCAACCCCGAACAAAATACTAACATGTGTCGAGCATGTTGGCCGCGCATTTTCATGAAAGGGTGCAGTATTATTAATTAAGCTGGGTCGTTCTGAGATACTCATTATTTGAGAAAAATGTGATAATTTCGGTCGCTGACACCATTCTCTTTGAGTTCGGACGTACCTGAAGTGTACGGAATTGCTGCCTTAAATTAAATATACAAAAAAGCTACTCCCCTGTGGCAGTGAGCGTACAGATGTTTTAATTAATTTTTTTTAAAAAGATAGAAATAAAAAGAAGGTAAATGAAGAACGACCCATTTTGGAAAATAAATAGCTTTTTCTAATCCCAATCTTTAATAGAAATGTCACCAAAGTACAACATTTTACGGTTAATTTTTCTACATTTTCTTAGAGGAGACATTTTAGCGTTGTCACACGGTAGACTAGCTGGTCCATTTTTCATTTTGGAGGACCTATCTTTGGTTTAAATGATAAAGAATTAAAGCATTTTAGACATAATTTTTCAAATTTTTCTTAGAGGGGGACCCAAACCCACACCAGCGGAGTACCCCCAATCCCACGCAATCCCCCCCTACACACACACACACACACACACACACACACACCTGTCCACACGCTAAGGCTCAATAGAAAAAGTAGTGTACACCTAATTTGAAAAAAAAACGCCCTGGCAGGGTATAAAATATTATGACACACATGCAGGCCCGTAGCCAGGGGGGTTCGGTGGGTTAGAAAGAACCGCTCCTTTTGCTGGGAAAATGTCCACTCTGGGTAACATTTGATCTAGGTTCATGAAGTTTATATGGAAAAAAGGTCCACTTTTTCAGAAAAGAACCCCCCTTTTAAAATTGCTGGCTACGGGCCTACATATATCAGGCATTTGAAAGTGTTGTTTCTTCATATATTGTCTTCATTATGCCATAACATAATGACGTTAGCTTCAGTACTTCGCATGTTGTTGGGTCCTACATTTTTTAGCTACAAGCTGTATACTTTGCTCAGCTACATGTACTAAACAAACTTAAAACGAAAGTAATATATGCAGGTACATTCGCTATAAAGGGTGTTGTGTTATTTCCCCTGCCACTGGATCATCTTTGAAATTATGAAATGATGGAATAAGTAAAGTAGTCTAGCTCACTATATCCTAAAGTGTATATCACTTACCTGGGTGATACATTAACTTCCATAACCCACGGTTTCATGTTTCCATCGAGAAGAATATCAAAGGCAAATAATTCATGCACGCTGTACCGGTTCCTAATAAAGTGTTGGGTACTCCTTTGCATTGTATCCTCCCCACTAAAATAAATGGACAGGTACAGTGTATATTAGACGACAAAGATTTGTTAACTAAATGCTAAGGTTAGAAATGTATGTATCAAAATAAGTGATGAATACAACCGAAGCGCATAAATAAGAAGACCCAATGACACGTAGTCCTTCTATCTATAATAATAACAATGATAATAATATGTTACCTCAGAATAGTTTTGATGACAAGGTCTTTGATTCTGTCCCAAATAGGTTCGCGTTCCACTCCATGGTTCTCTTTTAAGTAGTCCCAAAACCACGTTAACGATCTAAAGTAGAAAGAAGCTTATTTTAATTTGTATCAATATTGAAAAGGACGTGTTATTAAACATGTCAATCCAATGTAACAAAATAATACATTAGAAAAATAAGGTAAACAAAGAAGATTCGACGGGCACTCCCCTGCGAAAGTACCCTGNCTACCATTTTTTCATCTATGTAGTATACCGAGTTCTTTGAATTGACGTTTTCGTTTGTCAGATGTATTGCCCTGTTATTAAGATCTTTCATAGTGTACCTGTGCAACAAACAAATAAACATGTGAAAAAAGAAAGAAAGAACGACACCGTGATCGCCTACGGACCTCGTGCATCAGGCCTTAATGGCTGTCTCCCTCTCTCTTGGCACTCTGCAGGGATAAAGTACTTGGTCTGGCAGTGAAATATCTTACCTAGACCAAAACCTAGTATATAAAAGCAAGATACATGTACATGCATTCCCATCAAATACGAATATGCAAATTTTATTAAACAAACCTATCCGCCATGTCTTTTTGTTAAGTTTGAACTTGACACAAAAGGGTGTAAATAGCAAAAAAAAAAAAAAAAGGGATAAATACACTCACTTTTCAACCGATATCCTTACAATGCCCTCCGGGTTGACATATATTCGAAGAGGGTTAATACTGGTGACCTCGACGTACACCCTTAAATCTATCTTGGATCCGTTGACTAAGAGTGGATTGGATATATACCTGGCGAGAATTACGTTAGAGTTAAATATATATTACAGGAACAAATATACTGGCGATTTCCATATTTTCTATATATTTAACTGTATTCATTATACATTAAAATATAGGTATGAGGCTACTTAAGATGGCTCATGAAATGCACAAATACTAATTCCATAAGATAGGGTGTACGCTGACAAAATGTATTTGATTTTGATTCCATAAGCAATTAAGTATTCTACTTTTGACTAAAGCTTTATGTTATCAAGAATATAGGAACGGCCAGGTAACAGAATTAGAAGGAATCAGGTGTTCAACGTTTGTTTTGGTATATATATTAAAAGTAGAAGTGTTTTTCCTGTACGAGTATATATCATATATGACAAAAAGAAAAAAGAACATCAGCTATTTTGCCCCGACCGGTTTCATTCTTTCTTCAGGGTTTTTTGTTTATTTGCTACTGCAAGTTAATACATAAATTAAATTTGAGCTAGGGAGCCATCTAACATTTAAAAATGGCCTTACATTTAGAATTAAACACCCATTCACTTGCACTAGCTCAAATTTAATTTATGTATTAACTTGCAGTGGATGCGGTGAGAACTATATAGGACAAACTGGAGACACTCTCCGACATAGAATGACCGTTCACAGACAACAAATAAGACAACCTAAATATCAGTGCACGTCTGTGAGTGGACACATTAGGGAATGCTCTATGAACAAAAACAAGGACTTTACGGTATTCCCATTTTATAAATTCACTAGGGAAACAACCCAAACAGAAAGGGAAACGAAAGAAAATCTATTCATTAATAAGTATAAACCTACATTGAATAGATAATAGTATTGGTAAAAGCAACAATTAAACACCCATTGTTACAGACGTCACATTTTAACCTTTATGACATCACCTAGTAACAAATAAACAAAACCCCCTGAAGAAAGAATGAAACCGGTCGGGGCAAAATAGCTGATGTTCTTTTTTCTTTTTATTATATATTCCCCCTGGCTTCCAACCCGAGCGTTTTCACTCTTAAATTAACACACCTAATGGTAGCTGTAGGCCCAATCATGGGTTAATATTCGCAAGCAACGGTACGAGATAGAAAGAGTACATTTCTTCCCAATATATTAAATCACTACAACCAACATAACGTCAAATCACAAGCATCAAGAGGTACTTTCTATTCATTTTCAACAATGAGCAAAACAACCATTATTGCATACATTTTTAATTACTTGTTTAAATGAAGTTGAACCTTACTTTTGAACAACGATGAGTTCCTTTTTGGGAACCTGTTTCCAGTCNTTTTACCCTTTATGAAACCCCCAAGTAACAAAAAAAAAAAACCCCCTGAAAAAAAAAGAAAACCGGGGGGGGCAAAAAAGCTGATGTTTTTTTTTTTTTTTTTTATATATTCCCCCCCCCCCCCCCCCCGGCTTCCAACCCGAGCGTTTTCACTCTTAAATTAACACACCTAATGGTAGCTGTAGGCCCAATCATGGGTTAATATTTGCAAGCAACGATACGAGATAGAAAGAGCACATTTCTTCCCAATATAATAAATCACTACAAACAACATAACGTCAAATCACAAGCATCAAGAGGTACTTTCTATTCATTTTCAACAATGAGCAAAACAACCATTATTGCATACATTTTTAATTACTTGTTTAAATGAAGTTGAACCTTACTTTTGAACAACGATGAGTTCCTTTTTGGGAACCTGTTTCCAGTCCTGTACTACTGTAATCCCATTTCCCCCAAATGTGCATGGCTATATAAAGAAAAGAAATAATCCAATTAAAACAAACCATTATCTCAAATTTAAAGCGTCTTTTTCGCCAAAAAAAAAAAAACATTTGAATGAATCAACACCGCAGTATTCTCGGGGTTTCCCCCAGAACAGCCACTCCCAAAACGTGTTCCACGTTTACCGGACGGACGGACGTCTTGCTAACTTTGCAAAGCAGCAATTATAGTTTTACTTGAACCTACTTTCGTCTTCTATCTAAGCACTAATGATAAAAGCATGTCTGCACAACACCAGTTTGAATTTCAAAATCCACATTAGCTTTCAACCAGTTGAAGCAATTTCAGAAGTACACCTTTACACGGCTGTATACAGACCCTCATTTGGGCTATGATGAACAATACAACCATAGGCTACTGTCACAATTCATACTGATATTTGGTTTTGCTCACTTAATATATGAATTATTTTTGATGAAAGTATCAAGCCTCCTTGATCGGATTACATTGTGATCAGATGTCCGCTTCTGGAGCGAAAAGACGTGGGCTCTACCACCCCGTTCGTGGACATACCGGTCCTTCAGACTTAAAAAGTTGCATTTTCCCCGTGTTCTTTTATCCTATCATTGTGCTAGAACCAAGTAAAATGAATGTTCAAGTTTAAACATTGGGCAGTCTATCTAAAGCAAAGATATATTCATAAATATCTATGTCTATATGTTTACAAACCGGTTTCAGGATCCAGGTCCGGTCTTTGCCACTGGCATCCCATTCTCTTTTCAGAGCATCCTCGTCTTCTGGTAAAACAAACGTCTCTGGGAAGAACCCATATTCGTCCTCGCCGTATTTTGCTTTGAACCTTTGAAGATTACGCCCAAGTTGATCCTTGCAACCCAAGGCCCAACTGTCTGGGATGTGGTTGAACTGAAGAGGGAATCCATATACAACCATACTTCCAATATTTTTAATGTTAAAGGTCTTTTAGGCACGTGCGTTTGAAATGAATTTCACTTTCTGAAGATACTCTTGGATTTGAAACGGATATCTTATTACTCAGACAGTTTATTTACAGTCAATAAATATAATAACACTTCCGTAATACAGCATTGAAATCTGAGTCAACTAAAGGTTCAGTGACATAACATCCATTTTATGTGGTATATAAACAGTGGCCTGCAGTTTGTCTTCATAAATAAGATCTACAACTGTTATCTACAAAAAGAAACCCGAAATACGGAAGTTATTGAGTAAACTGTAAAAAATGTCGAATAGTTGTTTTTTTCTTACCTTTTGGTACGGAAGGACCGACAGATAGTCCCTCGCATTGTTGATTTGATAGGGTAGACCGTAAAATATTGTATATTCGTACACATCTAAAACCAAAGGGTTAAAATACAGGCAAATAAAACATTAAGCAAAATAGATAAAATTGGTAGTAATTGAATAAATTATAAAGTCGCTTGAGAGATACACAATTGTTATTACAAAGATGTACATGTATTAGTATTAGCAATACTACAATTAAAAAGACAATGTTTATAACAGATAGGTCAAAACACATTGGGTAAATAAACTTATAAAAATAATTAACAAAACATACAACTCATTTTCAATTAGCAATTGGCAACTTAAACATAAAAATACATTTCATTTATGAAAGCTGTAACGCTTGACTGTAGATCTCTCTAAACATATCCTAAATAAACCGTGAGCAGATTGCTGTTACAAGGAAACAGTCTTTTCTGTGCTGTGAAAATACTGCAACAATGAATGCAGAGCATTTGCATAAGAACTATCTGCTTGCCATTGAACAGTGTCTAATCAAATGAATTGACGTGAAGTGATATCGCACCTTGAGTTGGGGTGAATCCAGACAGAGAGGCGTACGTTGTAACAGGTGAAGATGGGCTAGCATAATACTTCAAACGCTCTCGTATTGTTTGGGGAAGTTTCTCCACTGAAACATAAGACACAGATGATAATGTTAACTTAGTGTGACGGTTATTCATGCAGAGTATGTGCAGTTTTTCTTTTTTCTTTGTCTCACGTACTGAGGTCAAAATTCTACTAAAATTCGGAACAATCTCTCGATATTTGGGTTCACTGCTATTCATACATGTAAAACCGATCTCACGCTTGCTTAAAATTTCACCGAAAGAATTCAACAAAAGCATTTTTCCCCTTGCAATCATCTCTCTCTCTCTCTCTCTCTCTCTCCTATTGTTTTGATAGGACAACTCTTTAGCAATCTCCAAAAAAGGAAATAATATTCAAATAGTATACTTTTTCAAGTCCTTATAAACATGTACATGTATCAGTCACACTTGGACACGGTAAATGTATTACACCAACTACAGGGAATTAATTCACCGTATTGACAAATCATGTCTCTGTAAAACTGAAGAAAGAGAAAGACAATTTTGGGATTATTTTACAAAAATACCTCTTACCTTGTTGATCAGGCCTTACAAAGTTAATCGTTGGCGGCACGTTTGAAAATAAACTAGGCGTCAAAGCGGGTAATACGGTGTTCTCGACTTGAATGTTTTCTGCAATATGAGGGCTTGGAGGACAGTCAGCTAACCGCTCCGATGACCCTTGACCCGAATTTGCCTTGACTGGACAGCTGTTCTCTATTATGGCTGCTCTTTCACCTTGTCAGAAAATAATACACATTTAGTTGTGTTGTTTTTATCGCTTTGATGCATAACAGAAACACAGTGTAAGTAAATCTGCAGCGTACTACGTAGTAGTACGCGGAAGACCGGTAACTAAATTACTAGGGTCGGATATATTTTAATACAGGCCCGTAGCCAGAGGGAGGTTCGGGGTGTGTGAAAGAACCACCCTTTTTGCTGGGAAAAGGTCCACTCTGGGTATAATTTGACCTATGTACTTGAGGATTTTGAGGTAAAAGGTCCACTTTTTCAGAAAACAACCCCCCTGTGAAATACGGCTACGGCCTTGTAACACAGTACAAAAAAAGAAAAATAATAATAATCAGTAACAATAAAACCTGTGCAGGAAACGTACCTGAGGCACTTGTACTGGTGGATAAAACCAATGTGACAGTTACACAAATTACATAATCCATGATATTTCTGGTCTTCTTCGTCTAGGTCGACTCAATGTTTCTAACCTTCGATATTGCGTTACTTGCGTTATTGTTACTTGCGTTACTTGTGTACCTGGCTGAATATACTGTTTTATCAGAAAGAAATGTCGCACGGCTGCACATGCATACAACGTTGATACGGGAGTAGGGAGGGAAAGCCTGTAATTAGTGTGATATTACAAACCAAGCTGCATCGAACTTAAATGCATCTAATAAGTCTGCTGTCATCTTTAATTTATGTGTACACTCAACGGAGCCAACTATATATTATGTATTGGACAGGCTGCTCACCTGAGTCAACTAACTACATTTTCATACCACTACATAACATGTTTAAATAACATTCACAGCATGTAAACGACACACGGGGAAATTACAGTGATAGAAATCAGCCCGATATGTGTCTCAGTAAATGGATTGCGAGCTTAAGGGTCGCATGGGAAATACATGTACACGCTTGTTGCGTTCGGGTGGATGCCACGGAAACACCTTTGCCAGCACTGTGGCCTACTATTTTACCTCGTATATAGGATGTAGGCTCAATGACCATCCAACACCATAAAATGAGGAAATCATTTAATTTTTTTAATGTTATAAGATTGTGTGTTTTCCATTCAGGTAATTGCCAGAAAGTAAATTTTGCAAAAAACATATTTGGGAAATAATTCCGCCCAGAAGATTCCATTTCTTTTATGCTGAACGCGGTGTGCAGCCTTGATAGACTTGGTGCTACATGTATACCGGAAAGCTAAGGAATCAATTCAAATTTTGTCACTTTTATTGATAAGCCTGCCCAGAACGTACCCAGTTAGATGATTTCAGATCCTTTTATTTTCATTTTATTTTACACCGAGTATACGTTTGACTTCACCTGTGACGTTACAGGGCACGGTGAGAGCCAAAGCGGTTCACACCTTGGCGGCTTTAGATTTGAGTAGTCTTTGCCATTTCAAAGGGCGGCTGTTGCCCCCGGCTCTACATGACCATATGAATAGTCTTGATAGGCAGGGCCCAATGGGGAGGGCATAAAAGACAAAAAATGTGATAAGGTAAACAAATAGTGGCGACATGACTTTAAAAAATACTTTCCTCGCTGATAATCGTCCCAAGAAGATAGCACTTTTCGTTGAAAGGGCAGTATGACATGGAAGACGCCATCCCGGCCGCGGGTTAGGTACTGACTTAATTCAAGTTTGATCTGTTGCGTAGCTAGTAAAGAGATGAGAGCAATGACCATCCCCGCCTAAGAGTCATTTAAGGACTTTAAATTGAAGAGAAATGAATCATTTATGACAACGCAAACTTCATCATAATTGGCAGCAATAAGTTATTTTGAAATGGATGACTCATTATAAACTTTTCCAATATTTTATGCAAAAGGTAAATTTGCTGGGACCCACGAGAGGCTGCTCTCGTTTTCCCGACTGGTCGCTTCCGTGGCCAGCTTGTTGTTGTGTTGAACTGACTTAGCTTGTTGTTGTGTTGAACTGACTTGTCTCATCCGGGACTCGAACTCGTGACCTTGCGTTACCATGGTTGGTGATTGCTTTGCATGTTTTTTTACATCCTTGCACGCTACCGATTGCGCCGTGAGAGACCCGCCCACCCTCCGTACGTACGAGTTTCCTCTTACAGTGAACAAGATCAATTTTCAAAAATTATTTTTAGGTAAAAGAATACAATCAACCTCTTAGGATTCGAACCCGTGTACAAGCGATCGGCTGTTTACATCACCGGTGTTACCACGGAGCCACAGAACCTTCGCAACACACACATGATCAAATGGTGACTTTCTACCTTGTCACAGAGAGGGCCAGATTGGCAGTACATGTGTACATCTGCAATTGCAAACGAAAGCCCGAGTGCCGTACAAATTGTATATTTCAGCCCAACCAACGCCAGTCCCAGAACATGGGCTTATCGTCAACGTACATGTAGACGTTCCTGATGTACAAGAGGCCTTGTTTGAGAAGCCGACACGGAGCTTTCCTAAGTATTGACTTAATTCAAGTTTGATCTGTGGCGTAGCTAGTAAAGTGATGAGATCAATGACCATCCCCGCCTAAGAGTCTTTAAGAACTTTTAAGCGAAGAAAAATGAAATATTTTGTCATTATTTTCAAGTAAATTATTTTTATTATAATTATTAATATTCAAATTGACATCTAGTTTTCTGATAAATTATATCAATAATACTATCCCCTGCTTAATTGATATGATTGTCAGTATGTATAGTATGGTCCATTCACTTGGTTAGTTTGATTTCTTCTACATAGAATAAATTGAAAAAAAAAACATTCCTGGACACGGATGCACGTAACACGCTTGCCATAGAAGCTAGCAATAATATGCTGAGTTTCTGAATAAAAAAGTCGGGGATTACATTATAGCATTTACCGCTCTGAAGTATCCTGTGATGTTCTCACTTCCATTTCTCATTGCATATTCAGATGTTATGAATGAGTATTTAGTTCCTTCGAAGAACAGGCCAATTATTTGTCGTAATAGTTTTTACTATTGCAAGAATAAGGTCTACTATCCCACGGACAGAGTGTCTTAAAACATTATAAGTTTTGTATCAAACTGCATTTTGAGGTGCATATCTTATTTTTCTATATCATAAACACTTTTGAGAACCGACAAGTCGTTAAAATGTTCCGGCAATGAATTTCTTTTGGGCAAAGCGTCATAACCTGACGGCTCTTCAGTGGGCTCTATCACGTGACCATGCGGAATGACGTCACGGTTATTTTGATATCCAACGTCACTGTCAGCACCGTCCTTATGCACGTATTCTCGTGGGGGGTAGACGGGAGCGTGAGTGACCATATTACATCCATTATCAAACATGTCACACATCAGACTGCTCACGTTAAATCTCGTCCCGGGCGGGCAGCGTCTTAACTGGAAGCCAACTTTGTCGTGCGCCGTGTACACGCACTCCAAGTACGCACACGGGTCTGGAGCGAAGATCTCAACGTTGCCGTTGTCGCGGGCGTTGACACACGGTCCTCGTATTGCTTTGGGGTATTCGACTTTGGGCTCAAAGCCGTGCTCTCCATAGCCGTCCGGGTATGCCTCTTCTTGATACGAGTAGGACTGGTCTTTGAATGGCAGCGCTGGATAAATGAAAATTATAAAATTTTGTTTTGTTAAGAGCATTCAAATAGATTAACTAGATGTAAAATACACGCGATAAAATGGTGGACAATTTTGTCAAAACTGTGGTAAGATGGTTATCATATTTCTTTTCTATATCTATGCACTGTCAATCAAAAATGGGATTCTATATTTGAATATACATGTGTTTTTCCGAGAAACGTTTTGGTTTAGAATTGGTTATTTTAGTATGACACCGATGTACCCATGAGGTAAGCAGATTTTTTAAAGAGCCATATATATTGTATTATTTTGCACCGTACTGACAATAATGTGTAGACGGTGATCTTGCTGGCCTTAAATAGCCACATCCAAAGTTTCGGAAAAGAAAATAAACTAGAGCCAACTTCATTGTTTTACACATTTTGTTGCGAGCCCCCTACGCTGCGTTTCTTTATAATTTATGGTCGTCACATAGCTATGGGCATGCTCCAAGACAATTGGCTATAATTCTACTGCTACCTGTACCTTGATCTTGAATTGTATTGGACTAAAGAAGTAAATATATCCAATTACGTTTTAACCGTACTTTGTTCTTCTTTAACCAAAATGGCAAATGTCCATTCCGGACAGCAAGACGACATTATGTCAAGCCATGAAACACCTTTAAAAACTATCCACCTATTTTTGAAGAGTTTTTCTTTTTTTATTTTTATTTTTTATTGTGTTTAGACTGCTATCGATAATTGACTAATACTTAGGAGACTAAACTCAACTTTAAGATTTTTATGAAACAGAATCCCCTGGAAATAGTATTGAAGGCTTTGTTCCGTCAAATACCAGAGATTTCTGGTAACTAAAGTTTTAGTTACGGTGTAAGGTCAGACCAGGTCATAAGAAATCGCCATGTTTTGACTACACAAAAAAAGAGGTTTATGACAGTTATGTTTAAATCCAACCCATATGTTACATCGTGAGATGCACCATCACTATGCTAAGTCTGCATGGCGACAGCTGGGAATACTCCAACATTTCAAGGTGCCTTTGCCTCACTCTAATGTCACATATGTTTACAACGGCTGCTTATACGGGACGTGTTCACAGCAGGACAGCTTACAGAGACCAACAATAAAGAAAAGTTTGGCGTAAGCCATATTTATTCACGCACTGTTGGGAATCTTTAAATAAACTCACTGACGTCATGATAGACGTACAGATGTCACCAAAATAGCGGTTTTCCATGACGTAGTGAAAAGCACCCCTACTAGACAGTACCCCCCATGTTATTTAGTTGTCTAGAAACGTCAATCAAACTGTTTCCGGTCTCAGATTATCCTGCTGATAACGTAGCTCGGGTAGCATGTACATGTACATGTATAGGCACCTGCCTTGATTTGCCTGTGCTGCTATACCTGTACAGGTACAGGGCTTTATTCTGAAACCTCTGAACCCCCTACCCTCATAAATGATAGCAAAGGCATTCTGGAATGTAAACAAAAACAAAATAATCGCCACGCTACCTTAATAAAAGCCATGAAAATGACTTTAGACCTTTACGTAGTGGTTCCAAGTTCCCGCGTGTGATTAATAATCGTTCTTTTTGGATATGTTCACGCTGAGTGTGGAATATATTTTACCGGTACAGTACGTATACTTATAATGATAATTTGTAACATTCTTCCTTCATTGTTATTGTTATTTATTTATTTATTTTTCGTAAGTCTCAAATTCTTGGTTTAGGGCATATTTCGTTCCACAAAAAATGACAAAGCATCTAACTTATTTTGTAATATTTCCCAAATGACTATTTAGAAAACGTATTATCCTTTTTCCTTTGAATAAATGAATAAATAAATAATTTAAAAAATACTGGACACCTGGGACGGTTATAAATGTAATAGAAAACAACCCCTTTTTTGCGACCAGTGCAAACTTCCCAGATGGGTTTTTGTTTGTGATATTTTTTAAATATAGACCTAGGATAGATTTTGGGTTCCACCAGTAGTGTAGACTTAATGATCGTTATGTGAACCTCCAGTGAAACAGAATGTACTATAACTCTACCCATAAGTTACCATGCAATATATGTCAGAGAGAGGTGGGCTAGATGTATTTTCATTTTCTTTGTTGTCTGCCGTAATTGTAGGTTTCTGGTTGCTAAATTATTCCATCCAATCATATGTCATGAAAAATCTGTAAAGCATGGCAGCTTTGTCGTATTTAACATTTTCTATAAGTCGATGTGAAAACCGATTTAAAATCACAAAACCGCCGATGAAAATTGAAACAACATGCTATAAAACGTGTCCGTCTATAAATTCGGATCCATTAATCATACATGCAATATTCTTATAATACAAAGTGACACTCTTAACAAAATATTGTTATTCTAGTTAAAACACGTACGCTATAACTTCACGATTGAAGCCAGCAATGCAAAATTGGTTATGAAATACATGTGCCCAAAATGACACAATATAGACAAAAAACTTTCTGTGTACTAACCGTTAACAAAGGCTATGGCCGCAAACAAATATAGGATGTCAGCTACGACAGATATCATCTTGGCCTTGTGATATTCTTCAAATATTTAGAGCTGCTCTCTTCTCATGAAAGATGATCAAAGTTACGGAGGTGCTCCTGTCTTAGTCAGTTAGGTATGACTGTTCTGCTGGATGGCTGATCGCCAATTTGAGAACAGAGCTTTTCTATAAATCAGTCGAGTTTTCTTAATTTTTTTGCGCCAGCTGGCGCAGCTCTGTTGTAGGGCGTGATGCGAAGTTAACAAGATGGCGGCCGGTCTTTTGTTACTTGGTTCATGCCCAATGCAGCTGATTTGTAACAGACTGGTAGGTCAGTGCTCTCACGTCACTGCATGATTGAATAATTATGACGTTAATTTAATGAAATGTTTGAGCTAATGCAAAGTTAAGTATCATTTATCACAATAAATTTTCACCAACATTACGTTGCATAACATATGTGACACATTATAATTCAAATTGCGCAAAAAGCCGTCATCTGTTTCAATATGCATTCTGTATTGATTAATGAGAAAAAAAAAGTCATTCAAGCCAGGAATTTTAAATTCATTTTTAAAAATAAGAAACCGTGTCAGCTCTGTGACTGACTGCTATTCACATTTCCAAGTTACACACTGTTTCAGGCCTACATATTTTCGTTGCTATAGAATGTTTTTTACATGTATATGCAATAGTTATATTGTAAACAATGTATTTTACCAAATAAATAAATAATTGAACAAATAATCGAGATACCGTTTAAAAATACATGTGAACTTACCGGTATTACATAGTTTCATAGTTGCATATTAAATTCACGACTGCTTCTCTAGGTCGCACAGTTATGTCGGCTGAACTCGGATGGAAACAGGCACCACAAAATGTCCTGAAAATTACCAGCCTTTACAAGTAAGCTGTGTACGCAGTGCTCGACTATGATAAATCTGTTATAATGTTAAGAATGTTGCAGTCTTTTTTTTTTTTTTTTCTGCATTATCGCAGAGTATAAAACGCAGACGTTAATGGTAATGTGATGCTAACAGAATAAGAGCCTAATCTAACTGAATAAAGACCCGCAGAAGAGAAGGAACAAATAAAATACGGAATGAAAAGAAGGAGAAAGGAAAACATCAATATAAAACTAAAAACATGCACTTGGTCGCCATTGATATAACTTTATTTACAAAAGTGTATTTTTTATACAAACCATAGCCGTATCAGCAGTAACATATTTAGTTACATATTATTATATTTGAAAAAGATTATCCCAAGTGAGGCGTCGCATTTACACGTGGTAATATCCGTATATACATGTAACTTCAATCTCAGTCTTATTGACTAAACATATTTTGTTCATTTCGTCACGTCATTCAAGTGAATATGAAACATCCATCTCGTTTTATATTTGAATCCAGTGAATGCTAGTCTCATTATCTCATACGTGTTACGATTAACAGATATCTGTATTATTACCTAACCAGCTCCCTTTAGAAGAGTCAACGCATGTGTAACATAAAGGTTGTCTTGTCTTATTACAAAAATGGTGAAAAAGTTGTCATCTTTACTCCTGTTCAGCATGCTATTTGTAAATATAAAAGACAACCTCACATACCAAATATCTCTCGTACTGATTACATTTACCTTTTACGCACGACATTAAACTGTGATACCTTTCAAAAAAAATGTTCTTATCTTATTTACAACATACAATGCCGATTATTCTTTTATCTTTACATTACATATTACCTCGAGGTTGTTGCACTGCTGACATATTTTGCTCTGTTTACAGATGAGAAAAAAAATCGCGTCACATTTATCAGAATTATTTTCCTGACAGCTGTCTGTGGCCGAGCAGACGACCTCAAGATTTGTGGATCCTCTTTTTTTTCACATGGAAAAGACACTGTAAGTCGTCAGATACACTGACTTTTTATTCTTAATGTGTCGCTTTCTACGGAACTTGACTGCATATACACGTACATAATAGCTCCGGCATCAACTTCTGTTACTCTCCAAAGGGTCTGAATGAAATTTATAGCTAGGAGTGGAAATTTTAGAAATATTTAGACCAAAAATGCTAGTCTATTTAAACCCAAGATCAATCAGCTGTACTAGTACATGTAGTCCAGTTACATGAAAGATTGCACCAATTTTATAACAGAGAAAGAAATTACTTTTGTTTCAAGCCAATTTGCACTTATTTGATATATGTACTGGACTTATTATTATGTATTCATTGGGTTCATCTAAAATCGAAGTACAAATTAACTTTTGGTTAAACTTATAAAAAAAATGTAGGTCTTCGCATCTTCTGTAAAATGCTCCATCATTTTTAGAAGTAAACATCTGAACATTCTGATGGGTACAATTCTTAGAGCGGCCTTCACTTGTCCTTCACCCAGAGCGACTAGAAATACCCATTGGAATGGTGGCCATTCTCAATTTTAATTTCGTTCTGGTCTACATTGTGCGCCACGTTCATCTCCCTGGCGTCTACCTCGCCGTCCTGACCGCGGGACTCGTTGCTGGCGTTATGTTTGCCTGAGTCCAGATCCTCAACGAATTCGTCAATGATGAGACGCATTGGAGACAGCAAAGTGGGTTCCATGTCCCCCTTCCTGTAGGCAATCAACTGGAATATGATTTATTGGTTTGATAAAATTTTGTCCTTGAAAACATTAATTTATTTAAAACGGTAGATATCGTATCAAGTAGATTAGTCAATAGCCCTTCTTTTCACGCGGGTGAAGTCATTCAAATCTAATCCAATGCTTCTTTACTTAATTAAAAATATCTCTCTCTCTCTCTCTCTCTCTCTCTCTCTCTCTCTCTCTCTCTCTCTCTCTCTCTACGGCATTACCTTTGGTACCAGAATCAGCAGCACGATAGCAATGGTGCAGATCAAAGTAAAACCGCCGATGACGCCATAGCGCACAGTGGGCTGGTCCTGTACTAATATGGACACGGGCACGCCCACTATGGCCGCTAAGACAACACACACCATGGCCAGACCAATATGGCTGCTGTCACCGATGCTGTTACGAATGGACATCACCCTGTGGAAAAAAGGGAGAGGAGCTAACGTAAATGAACGAATCAATGAATGGAGCGTGCAAAAGAGAAAATAAAAGTTAAATAAATGTTTGGGTTTAAATAAATGAGTTTAAGGACAAATAGATAAACAAACTTCAAACTAAGTCTGTCTGTTATGCGTCCTTACCAAGCTGGCCATATGAGGCAGATAGAGACCAGCAGCATGAGTCCTTTAAATGTGAAGAATGCAATGGTCCAGCCCATTGTGCCGTATGAAGTGCACTGGAACAGCACTGGGATGACCACCAGGCCCTCAGCTTCATTGGTCTGTAATACAGAAACAATGTGAATTTTATTTTTAGGGATGTAAATTAGAATAAATTAGACACAAGATCATGATGGTTGACTGGTCTGAGTTCGACTGCTTGCGACAAAAGTCTGGACATTTTTTAAAATATTCCTTAGCCCACCATCAGCACCACGGTAGCAATTGTGTAGATCAAAGTGAAAACGCTGATGACGGCTATGAAATTAGATAAGCATTTCTACTCTTCATGGACTGATAATAGAAAACCTTCATCTAAGCTTACCACAGGCGCCAGTTCAACTCTAAACACAAGCAGTGGATCTGTCAGTTGCCAGAGAAGCAGCAGCAGGAGGTCGATACACAGCATAATGGCCACAGCAGTCAGCAGACGAAGCTCAGCCTTAATACCCTGGAATACAGATAATATCTGGAAATGAGGCATCCGTATGCGACAAGGTTTATCAACACAGCTGCCGAAAACCAGATTGATATATAATGTGAGAATACTTAAATTGATACATAAAATGCAAGAAAGCAACTATTGTCTATGATAGTAATATGTTTGTAATATGAAGAAAGTCCTTATTTACATCCTTATTCTAAATTGTCTATATTTTGAAGATACGTTATAGTAGCTTTATGATTAATATACTCTTTGTAAAAGAGAGAAATATAAATCTTTCGTTTGTATGCTATTTTATAACAGTTCTTACCATCAGAACATCCAAATACCAGGGAAACCATTCTCCTTGCACTTACCCATTCTACGTTATTCCTATAAAACCTGAAGATACCCCACATCTTCACCAGCATAGTACCATAGCATAGAGTGAAGCCCAGGATGAACAACCACGTGGATCCCTGGCACGTGCTCTGTGCGTTACTCGTTGACGTAGCGTCAAATCCAGCCAATAGGATGCTGATATCAATCAGTATACAGCCAATAGCGATTGTTATGTTCATCACTGGCCAAGAATTCTGGATAAGTCTGTAAAGGGAAAATTGCTGTAACATTTCGGGCATTTATCACTGTTCTTAAGACGGGTTGATCACATTTTAACTCATCCCCTTCTTGATACCCTTAACCCGACTGCATTGTAACCTTAGACGTCTATGCCGTACAACGACGATTAATTAAGGAAAGGGGGGCACAATCAAGACTAAACAATGCTTTCCTCGCTTTATAAGGTGCATTTAAAGCGTTGACAAGGACACTTTTACTTCCATATGAAGGAAAAGGGGACAAAAGTGTTTCGGTAATCTTGTTTTGTTTTTATTATATTCCTACCGTGGAGCAAAAAAGTGTACATACGAAGTTTATAAAGAGGGGCGTGGTCCAATGCGATCTCCCCCCCCCCCCCCCAAATCTGCCATATTACCATTGTATCCACTAGGATCAAATTATATGTCGATATTTATGGTCTTTCAATTAAATAAAGCATCATGACAGAATAGGAATTCTATTTGGACAAATATCTTACTTGGTTTTCCACTTGAAGATAGTGAACAGGATCAGCAAGATGGCGCCTACAATGGCCACCGCTGCCACCACGCAGTACGTGAGCCGTATAATCTCAGAGATTAGACGTGATTCGTACACCTGTCTGTATCCGGCCAGAGGAGCTTTTCCACCTAAATATACCGATATAAAAGGCATTTTTAGTATAAAATATATTATTTTATATGCCACTGTACACACTGTACATGTAGTTGGTGCGGCATTGTGTTAAACGTGATGGAGTTAAATGTGATAGTTTTGAGGTTGGAACTTAATTAGCTGACAATAACACAAGCGGTGAGAATCATCAAAGATAAGAGATGTTACGTTCGAAAATCGACAATACAGGTTAATACCGTTTATGTAAAATATAAATCTTATAAACCAAATTATGTCCGTATAAGACAAAATAATGTGATGGTTACAATTTTACCTGTCTCTCTCCATATCTGATTGGCTGCCACAGACCACGTGATGTCTTGCGTTTTCTGATCATAAATACCAATAGCTTTTGCCGAGCCATCTTAAAATGAAAAAAAAATTTGTTCAACATATTTCAAGATTGATTTATTTCTGTGTATATTAAACATAATAAAAGTAGCGTTTCGCAATAATTGCAGCATCTACTCCTCATATCCAAAGGTACGAAATCATGTCTCTGACTTTGCACACTGGGTTGCAGAATAAGGACGACTACTTACTAAATATCTGTTCTATCGCTATGACACTGAGACGGTTCCCTTCTTTGGAAAATGATACGGGACCCTAAAACAACAAGTGTGTTCAAATGAAATGAGATAAAATTCGAAGTGAAAAAAGATAACATTATGATGAATCTTTCGTAATCACATCGCCAATACTTCTCAAGAAAAGTCTGAGTGTTGTACGTGCTTAAAAACAATCTAAATTTGAAATATAAATCATACAGACTGTACTGTCGCAACTAAGGCAATCTAATACAACTATGGCTTCACAACAACAGCATACCACATCCCTACTCTCAGACGGCGTACTTACAGATGCCCCGAAGAACTCTAGCTTCATCAGTTCCTGATTGAGAATTTCTGTGACGTAATCCAGATCTTCATAGGTGAAATTTTCCAACACACTCTTTGGAATTCTGTCCAGAGAGCCGTTTATAGCGAGGGCAGCGGCCCACACGGCATCATAAGCGACTTGGAAGTAGAGCGGCTTGATGTAGGGGTACTGGGCCCATGACTGCTCCTGCATCTCTTGCCAAATGCGATGGGGGTCCTGAAAAGGTCACATTGTTGATAAAATTAGCTTGAACATCTAGCATATAACTGTTCCTATAAGCATGCACATTACTGGTATAACAATTATCAGGACACACCGAAGGCAACGTCAATGTAGGGAAGCTACTAGCATGCTTACCCGTCCTGAAATCGCCATATGGAACTGTTGCTCTAGCTCGTAGGCCTCAAATGCATCCATTCTGAAGGTCTGGAAGGAAGACTCCATGGCGGTAACGATCTCGTCCACGGTACAGCGGGTAAAGTTGAGGGCGCTCAGCTCCATGGAGTGCGACCAGTAATTACGAACCTCTTGTATGGCTGATATCCACACGTAGTCCTTGCCGTACAGACCGTGTTTATAAGCCTGGGATTAAATACAACATGATAAATAAGGTATAATATCATTGGTGCGGATCCAGATAGATTTCTGACAGTCTTCCAGATAATCTTTGTTGAAGCATCTTCCGTCTTCCGACAGATAAAATTAGATGCCCGTCAATGCTAAATAAAGAATTGTGACCATCATCCGGAAGACCCAGAAAACGGCTTCCGTCCGTCCCTGAATATGATAATAATCCATTACTGTTCTATTACATTTTACAGTGGCTTTGGTCTTCTTCTGGGAAAGTACACACACTGGACAATAGAAGTGTCACCCCTACTAAACCAATACTATGGGGGAGATAAATGACTGTGGAATGATATGCTCCTGGTATCATTTTATTAACATCAAATTTCACAAAAATTCGCAAAATGAGAACAAAATATACATTCTACCAAAATATGCAGTTTCAAGTCCAAAATTAGTACTTAGTGGCATAGCCACGTGACCTAATAATAGGTGCCAGTCTACGAGGCAAGGATTCATATAATTGTCTGTTGCGTTCAGGGCTTATGCTGGCCCAAGCATGAAACACTGAATATAACAGAGTTTCTCTGCTGGTTAGACGGGCATTTGTCAGAAGTTTTGACATATCATTCCACACATTCTCTATTATGTTTGCATCCGGACTCTGGGCAGGCCACATCACCCTGCGAATGTCCTGTTGGTCAAACCAATCAGCAACTGCTCTGGGCCTGTGACAAGGAGCATTGTCATCCTGGTGAACAAATGGATAATTCCTGTCACCAAACATGTTAGTAATAGATTGTAGCAAGCCTGACTCCAAAACATCGATATATTTCTAGTGATTCATGTTTCCATCAACCACTATCAATTCACCCACGCCATGGATGCTGATGCAGCCCCACACCATGTTGAATGTGCTGCTCCGGGTTCGAAAATTCAGTGCATGTGGTTTAAATGCTTTACCAGCAGTTCACCAGAATCGTACCCGTCTGTCTTCAGAGGTCAGACCAAAGCAACACTCATCAGAAAAAAAATATATAGGACCAATTGTCATGGACTGTCCAGTTTTAGATCTGTTGACCCTAGTTCACTCTACGTTGCCTGTTTTGTAACGATATAAGAGGTTTCAGTCTTGCTACCCTGCTGTACACTCTATGAGCATGTAACAGACGGCTAGCAATTTTCACAGACACATTCTTATGTGTGAAATTGTTCCACTGTGTTGCCAACTGACAAGCAGTGTCGAACTTTGACAACCTGGACATCAAAATCAGTGGTCGGTATTCACGGCCAGTAGTTTTTCTTGGACGACCCATCAGAGGCAATTTGTCTCTTGATCCAGTGTTTCTATACCGAGACCAGACCCTCTGCACGGTTCTGACTGAACAATTTAACTGTATCGATATTCTGACATTGCTTATATTCCGCCTCTTCAGGTTAATAACTTGCACCTATAACCGTTAGATAATTTCCTGTATCTTGCCATATTGGAGGAAGACAGGAATAACATTTGCTGTACATGTACAAGACCAACAATACAATTCCATGGTATAGCGGTTTTATACTAATTAGTCACATCATAAGTAGGCCAGGCATTATAATTACCCAAGATCTGCCTACTTTTATTACTCTGAGTTAGGGGGTGACACTTCTATTGTCCAGTGTGTGTATTTTCATAATCAATTTGCATGTGCGTTGTATAATATTAACGTTTGAAATAAAAACAAAAACGGTGTGCGCTCTCAGAATATGAAGGATTATATTACCTGGCAGAAAACTTCCACCATTTCTATACCGTCAGCCGAGGAGTGGTGCAAGATGATTTTGGCCCCGGATTCCTGAAACACAAATAAAGACATCAGTGACAATACTAATGTTTATTAAGTCAGATAAATACAAATAATTAAATTAAGAAGAAATACGTAAACACAAGGTGATCCAAACTAACTATTGCCTCCTCATGTCTGGACAATAAAAAGACAATAACTGTCAATGAGCGTCATTCTCATACAGAATGAAATAGAAATTGTAGGTAATTGAAACAGCATTGGGCATTTAATTACCTTGAGTTTCGCCATTTGTTTGTCGATGTCGTTTGCCTTGAAGAACAGCGACTGTACGACGTCGATGTTTTCTTCTCGAAGTTGCGTCTCCAACTGGGAACCAATCTGGATCCAATGGATATTAAACATTAACTCTTTGATACACATGGTATATCGTATACAATGTTCAATGCAAGAAAAAGGAGAACCAGAGTCAAACAATGTTTAATAAATACAGACTGGCTGAAAAATGTGTTAGTTGTGATCGGGAATGCAGCTGCGTTTTAGCGGCTGATAGGGGTGCAAGAAGTTATTTTTCTTTCATAAGAAACATGTAGTTTGTCAGCCAATCATACTATATTATAAGTTGCCCGTGTACTNATCGCATCTTCTGTAAAAAGCCCCATCATTTTCAGAAGTAAACATCTGAACATTCTGATGGTTACAATTCTTAGAGCGGCCTTCACTTGTCCTTCACCCAGAGCGACTAGAAATACCCATTGGAATGGTGGCCATTCTCAATTTTAATTTCGTTCTGGTCTACATTGTGCGCCACGTTCATCTCCCTGGCGTCAACCTCGCCGTCCTGACCGCGGGACTCGTTGCTGGCGTTATGTTTGCCTGAGTCCAGATCCTCAACGAATTCGTCAATGATGAGACGCATTGGAGACAGCAAAGTGGGTTCCATGTCCCCCTTCCTGTAGGCAATCAACTGGAATATGATTTATTGATTTGATAAAATTTTGTCCTTGAAAACATTAATTTATTTAAAACGGTAGGTATCGTATCAAGTAATTGCCCTTCAATTGCCCTTCTTTTCACGCGGGTGAAGTCATTCAAATCTAGTTCAATGCTTCTTAACTTAATTATAAATCTCTCTCTCTCTCTCTCTCTCTCTCTTTCTCTCTCTACGGCATTACCTTTGGTACCAGAATCAGCAGCACGATAGCAATGGTGCAGATCAAAGTAAAACCGCCGATGACGCCATAGCGCACAGTGGGCTGGTCCTGTACTAATATGGACACGGGCACGCCCACTATGGCCGCTAAGACAACACACACCATGGCCAGACCAATATGGCTGCTGTCACCGATGCTGTTACGAATGGACATCACCCTGTGGAAAAAAGGGAGAGGAGCTAACGTAAATGAATGAATCAATGAATGGAGAGTGCAAAAGAGAAAATAAAAGTTAAATAAATGTTTGGGTTTAAATAAATGAGTTTAAGGACAAATAGATAAACAAACTTCAAACGTGAAAACAAAACTAAGTCTGTCTGTTATCCGTCCTTACCAAGCTGGCCATATGAGGCAGATAGAGACCAGCAGCATGAGTCCTTTAAATGTGAAGAATGCAATGGTCCAGCCCATTGTGCCGTATGAAGTGCACTGGAACAGCACTGGGATGACCACAAGGCCCTCAGCTTCATTGGTCTGTAATACAGAAAGCATGTGAATTTTATTTTTAGGGATGTAAATTAGAATAAATTAGACACAAGATCATGATGGTTGACTGGTCTGAGTTCGACTGCTTGCGACAAAAGTCTGGACATATCTTATATTCCTTAGCCCACCATCAGCAGCACGGTAGCAATGGTGTAGATCAAAGTGAAAACGCTGATGACGGCTATGAAATTAGATAAGCATTTCTACTCTTCATGAACTGATAATAGAAAACCTTCATCTAAGCTTACCACAGGCGCCAGTTCAACTCTAAACACAAGCAGTGGATCTGTCAGTTGCCAGAGAAGCAGCAGCAGGAGGTCGATACACAGCATAATGGCTACAGCAGTCAGCAGACGAAGCTCAGCCTTAATACCCTGGAATACAGATAATATCTGGAAATGAGGCATCCGTATGCGACAAGGTTTATCAACACAACTGCCGAAAACCAGATTGATTTATAATGTGATACATAAATTGATACATAAAATGCAAGAAAGCAACTATTGTCTATGATAGTAATATGTTTGTAATATGAAGAAAGTCCTTATTTACATCCTTATTCTAAATTGTCTATATTTTGAAGATACGTTCTAGTAGCTCTATGATTAATATACTCTTTGTAAAAGAGAGAAATAGAAATCTTTCGTTTGTATGCTATTTTATAACAGTTCTTACCATCAGAACATCCAAATACCAGGGAAACAATTCTCCTTGCACTTACCCATTCTACGTTATTCCTATAAAACCTGAAGATACCCCACATCTTCACCAGCATAGTACCATAGCATAGAGTAAAGCCCAGGATGAACAACCACGTGGATCCCTGGCACGTGCTCTGTGCGTTACTCGATGACGTAGCGTCAAATCCAGCCAATAGGATGCTGATATCTATCAGTATACAGCCAATAGCGATTGTTATGTTCATCACTGGCCAAGAATTCTGGATAAGTCTGTAAATGGAAAATTGCTGTAACATTTCGGGCATTTATCACTGTTCTTAAGACGGGTTGATCACATTTTAACTCATCCCCTTCTTGACACCCTTAACCCGACTGCATTGTAACCTTAGACGTCTATGCCGTACAACGACGATTAATTAAGGAAAGGGGGGCACAATCAAGACTAAACAATGCTTTCCTCGCTTTACAAGGTGCATTTAAAGCGTTTACAAGGACAATTTCACTTCCATATGAAGGAAAAGGGGACAAAAGTGTTTCGGTAATCTTGTTTTGTTTTTATTATATTCCTACCGTGGAGCAAAAAAGTGTACATACGAAGTTTATAAAGAGGGGCGTGGTCCAATGCGATCTCCCCCCCCCCCCCAAATCTGCCATATTACCATTGTATCCACTAGGATCAAATTATATGTCGATATTTATGGTCTTTCAATTAAATAAAGCATCATGACATAATAGGAATTCTATTTGGACAAATATCTTACTTGGTTTTCCACTTGAAGATAGTGAACAGGATCAGCAAGATGGCGCCTACAATGGCCACCGCTGCCACCACGCAGTACGTGAGCCGTATAATCTCAGAGATTAGGCGTGATTCGTACACCTGTCTGTATCCGGCCAGAGGAGCTTTTCCACCTAAATATACCGATATAAAAGGCATTTTTTTAGAATAAAATATATTATTTTATATGCCACTGTACATGTAGTTGGTGCGACATTGTGTTAAACGTGATGGAGTTAAATGTGATAGTTTTGAAGTTGGAACTTAATTAGCTGACAATAACACAAGCAGTGAGAATCATCAAAGATAAGAAATGTTACGTTCGAAAATCGACAATACAGGTTAATACCGTTTATGTAAAATATAAATCTTATAAACCAAAATTATGTCCGTATAAGACAAAATAATGTGATGGTTATAATGTTACCTGTCTCTCTCCATATCTGATTGGCTGCCACAGACCACGTGATGTCTTGCGTTTTCTGATCATAAATACCAATAGCTTTTGCCGAGCCATCTTAAAATGAAAAAAAAGTATTTGTTCAACATATTTCAAGATTGATTTATTTCTGTGTATATTAAACATAATAAATGTAGCGTTTCGCAATAATTGCAACATTTACTCATATCCAAAGCTTCGAAATCATGTCTCTGACTTTGCACACTGGGTTGCAGACTAAGGACGACTACTTACTAAATATCTGTTCTATCGCTATGACACTGAGACGGTTCCCTTCTTTGGAAAATGATACGGGACCCTAAAACAACAAGTGTTCTCAAATTAAATGAGATAAAATTAGACGTAAAACGAGATAACTTTATGATGAATCTTTTGCAATCACATCGACAATACTTCTCAAGAAACGTCTAAGTGTTGATTGTACGTGCTTAAAAAGAATCTAAATTTGAAATATAAATCATACAGACTGTACTGTCGCAACTAAGGCAATCTAATACAACTATGGCTTCACAACAACAGCATACCACATCCCTACTCTCAAACGGCGTACTTACAGATGCCCCGAAGAACTCTAGCTTCATCAGTTCCTGATTGAGAATTTCTGTGACGTAATCCAGATCTTCATAGGTGAAATTTTCCAACACACTCTTTGGAATTCTGTCCAGAGAGCCGTTTATAGCGAGGGCAGCGGCCCACACGGCATCATAAGCGACTTGGAAGTAGAGCGGCTTGATGTAGGGGTACTGGGCCCATGACTGCTCCTGCATCTCTTGCCAAATGCGATGGGGGTCCTGAAAAGGTCACATTGTTGATAAAATTAGCTTGAACATCTAGCATATAACTGTTCCTATAAGCATGCACATTACTGGTATAACAATTATCAAGACACACCGTAGGCAACGTCAATGTAGGGAAGCTACTAGCATGCTTACCCGTCCTGAAATCGCCATATGGAACTGTTGCTCTAGCTCGTAGGCCTCAAATGCATCCATTCTGAAGGTCTGGAAGGAAGACTCCATGGCGGTAACGATCTCGTCCACGGTACAGCGGGTAAAGTTGAGGGCGCTCAGCTCCATGGAGTGCGACCAGTAATTACGAACCTCTTGTATGGCTGATATCCACACGTAGTCCTTGCCGTACAGTCCGTGTTTATAAGCCTGGGATTAAATACAACATGATAAATAAGGTATAATATCATTGGTGCGGATCCAGATAGATTTCTGACAGTCTTCCAGATAATCTTTGTTGAAGCATCCTCCGTCTTCCGACAGATAAAATTAGATGCCCGTCAATGCTAAATAAAGAATTGTGACCATCATCCGGAAGACCCAGAAAACGGCTTCCGTCCGTCCCTGAATATGATAATAATCCATTACTGTTCTATTACATTTTACAGTGGCTTTGGTCTTCTTCTGGGAAAGTATTTTCATAATCGATTTGCATGTGCGTTGTATAATATTAACGTTTGAAATAAAAACAAAAACGGTGTGCGCTCTCAGAATATGCCTGATTATATTACCTGGCAGAAAACTTCCACCATTTCTATACCGTCAGCCGAGGAGTGGTGCAAGATAATTTTGGCCCCGGATTCCTGAAACACAAATAAAGACATCAGTGACAATACTAATGTTTATTAAGTCAGATAAATACAAATAATTAAATTAAGAAGAAATACGCCATGTGGATAACTTCCGTGAACACAAGGTGATCCAAACTAACTATTGCCTCCTCATGTCTGGACAATAAAAAGACAATAACTGTCAATGAGCGTCATTCTCATACAGAATGAAATAGAAATTGTAGGTAATTGAAACAGCATTGGGCATTTAATTACCTTGAGTTTCGCCATTTGTTTGTCGATGTCGTTTGCCTTGAAGAACAGCGACTGTACGACGTCGATGTTTTCTTCTCGAAGTTGCGTCTCCAACTGGGAACCAATCTGGATCCAATGGATATTAAACATTAACTCTTTGATATACATGGTATACCGTATACAATGTTCAATGCAAGAAAAAGGAGAACCAGAGTCAAACAATGTTTAATAAATACAGACTGGCTGAAAAATGTGTTAGTTGTGATCGGGAATGCAGCTGCGTTTTAGCGGCTGATAGGGGTGCAAGAAGTTATTTTTCTTTCATAAGAAACATGTAGTTTGTCAGCCAATCATACTATATTATAAGTTGCCCGTGTACTGTAGAAACCTGAGGACAGACAATAAGAAAGTGCATATTCTGCACCAGGCACTTTTATGACTAATCTCACCTTCTTAAATGGTCCATAGTCAGCATTAAAGAGAGCCACTCTGTCCCACCCAAAGTGCTTGATCAAGTCCACTTCCATTGTAGTGGTGTCGGCCAAGTCGCCTATGGTCCGGTANTGTAGAAACCTGAGGACAGATAATAAGAAAGTGCATGTTCTGCACCAGGCACTTTTATGACTAATCTCACCTTCTTAAATGGTCCATAGTCAGCATTAAAGAGAGCCACTCTGTCCCACCCAAAGTGCTTGATCAAGTCCACTTCCATTGTAGTGGTGTCGGCCAAGTCGCCTATGGTCCGGTAAAAGTAGGGAAAGCGTTCCCTCTCGGACAGCACGGGAGAGGCACTACCTGTAGCTATCTGGAACGTGATAGTAGCAAGGGTCGATTGCAATTAACAGAAGAGGGATTTTAGGTAGTTTGAAATTAAGGCAATTTTCGCGTTTGTAGTGAGAGATTTTCCATGACAAACACATTACATTTACTGAAGAGAAAAGGTTGACTACATAAGGTTATTTTATCCGTGTTTTTTTGTAAACAAACTATGTTGCATAAGCTATATCCTGATGATTATCTTTTATTTGACTTGTTCGTGGTAAAGAAGTGACCCGCTTCCAACTTTATTAATTCGCCGTGCAAGCACCCCTACAATTTATGTCTAACCCGTATAATTTAAGCGTCCACTTTCTTTTCTATAAAATCACCCGCTAACATTAAACCTCCCTTTAATATGGGACTAATCTATTCCATCTCAGTCTTTGACTCACCTGTATCATTTTTAACGTCCCAGTTATTTCAGCAGTTACTTCTGTCTCCGTCCAGCTTCCCTCGTGGAGAAGCATCATGACAGGGGGATCCGCAACTGATGTCATCAGCTCGTGAAGTTGATCGACAGCCACACCCACGTGATACAGTAACATGTCGTATGTGATCTGAAAATATACGAAAAACACGTGGTCTGACTATTTTTTTTCTGAATGAAAATATTGAATATGCATGGAAATTCATGTACTTGATACCTGAGAGCCAAAATACTGTTATCACAAATATTTGTTGTAAAGTTGGTAGGGTAACTGTTTTAATTAGACATAAGGGGAGGGGGTTAAGTTCGAACGAATCGCTCTTTCGGTCATAAAAGGCACGTCTAAATCGAAATTTGATCCAGGTTTAGTGACATTTCACAACTTTGATCCACAAAGGCGTGCAAAGATCTGCATTTCCAGAAAAAACCTTCTTCAATATTACTGACTACGGCCCGTCAGGTGACAATCTATGAAGGAGAAATGACGTTACAGTTGTTTGTTTACAATATTTTTTATACATTTATGTTTTTTAGGAATGCAAATTTGGATTACGAATCTGAAGCTCGTTTTTTCAGCGTCGGTCCTTGCAGCTTTTTCCGTGTTCTTTTTTTATTTATTCAAGCCAAATACCTTGTCAAACGAATGGGTATTAGAAGATTTTACCTGCGGTGTAGCTTTGTGTGTATCTTAATTATATTTGCTTTTAAATTTCCTGAAGTCATCCCGTCCCGTTATACCAATTAGTATAAATCAAGTTTATTTGCCCCGTTGACGTGTAGGAGAACATCGGTATTAGTATGTGGTGAGTAGTGAAAAGTGAGATACTCTGTAGCAGCACAAAAAAAGAAAGAACTATGCCCAAATTTAAAAATGCATAGTCACTTTCTTGGGGATCTTTGGACCAATAATTGGTATTGGCTATATGACCCGTTATTTAGTCTTCATGGATGCTGACCCAAAATGTGTCAATATTTGTCTGAAATGAAATGTATTATGAAATAAATATAAAGCTAGGATTTTACACCATAAGTACTTTCATTAAGTTGAGTACTATAGATTTATTCTCTTTTGAAGAAGACCAAAACTGAAATAAAAACCAACTTTCGATGTTTAATTTTTAGGTGAATCTGCCGGTAGATTTAATGGTCGAGCAATTCTGGAGAACTTCGTGGAATCCACGTAGTTTCATGAACATAGTCGACAATTGGATAAGAAAACGTTTTTATCGACAATATTAGCTAATATTTTTTTCTACATAAGCAAATTTTCATCTAGGTTATAGTTATCAGTATTTTAAAGGTATTGCTATCTGTATCACCTTGGTCAGTGTGTGTTCTGGAGGGGTAGATCAAAATAACGTGGGTTAAAACACGTGATGTCTTACGACACGTGATACATAGGACGTCTACACGTGACACATAGGACGTTATTCAGATATACCCGTGTCACCATGACCCGCCTAAAGCTAAATCGTCGCTCTGCCATATTTTTAATATATTGGTATGGTTTGAAGAGCGTGTGAATCAACCAAAAAAAAATCATGTATCGGCCTGTATTATTACAATCAAAAATATAATAATTTTGCCACTGCACAGGGCGCTTTATTATCTGACATGAACATGTATCGTGTATATCAAAGTTTTCTGATATGCATCTCCAGTAACTCAGACATATATTTCTATTTCAAAGCCATAATTCAAATGCTTGGCAGCCTATAACTTGAAATATATGCATCTTGCAGAATGCAAGTATTAATCTGTTTATATTCATGTATTTATTCGTATGTCTGTATACTAGTATTTTCTATAATCTTTGCCTGAGGATACATGAATTGGTACGTGCTAGTGTTATAGTGTTAACAGAAACCTTACACTGATATATATTGACATGATCTATGACTTAAGTGTCCCTATACGGTTGCAAGACATACGTTTCCTCAGCTACACGTGATAAGACAGTATGGTATTGTTGCAAACAGCCTGTTCTTAACCCCAGTTCGTATTGTTTACACGTGTGTTCTACAGTGCGGTATCGGATGTGCCTAAAGTTTGTCTCAGGCGTACATGTATTGTTTAGGCAGATGCGCTAAGCGGTCTTTGTGTTCTTTGTGTTAGTCATTTAGATAACAAAGCTTACTAAGTGTTTTCATGTTGAATAAAACGCTGCTATGCCTTTTTCTCCTAAACTATATGTTCAAACATTAGGCACAACAGTGACAATGCTTTGGGAATCAGTTTAATCAGAAAGACTAGGTACATGTTATAGCCAGATGTTTTACGATGCGAATTATAGGTGTCTGTATTAATTAAGGCCATCAAAAGAGTAAAGACGTGACTTTCGGAATAATTTTCGGAATTCTAATTTGGAGTTCAGGGTTGTTTCCCCGACGTCGCTGTTTGATGCACACACCATGCTATTATCCTAGAGCAATATATCTTAGTTTAATCAGGTTTCGTGACTGTCACTATAACAATCTGAAAAATCTTGACAAACATATTCTTATCTCTCACGCATACACCATCAGCGTGCGAAACTATACATCTCCATCTGCCATCCGCTAAAATAGTACATGCGACTTCCGTAACGGGAAGTGGTAGTTCCCACATATAGGACCTAAAATCCTAGGTCACATGTAGGACTTGCACAGCGTTTCGTGCTGACGAAAATGCTTGTAACGGAAAGGTGGGGGCACTTCTTGACGGCCTTCTATATTTCGATGGAAATTTTTTACCGCCTGTCGTACTTGGACATGTTCTCATCTAGACGCTTCATGAAGGACAGACGAAGACACTAGGGCCCCGTATCTCGAAAGCATCGCGCATTGCGAACGTGCGCAAGCGTCTCGATTCCATAACTCGCCCATACTCGCCCCATATAATACATTGTACTGTAGCCTCTATGTGATATCGCTATTCGCAATACTCGATGCTTTCGAGATATGGGGCCCAGATAGACCGTGAGAAAGGACAGGTATAAGGAGAGATCCAAAATAATATTTTTCAAAAAGGTCTAAAAGACAAGTGCCCCATGCCTCCCCCTCCCCTCCACAGCCCACCGTCCTGACATTGGGCTATGAATACGCCACAAGTCCACAATACTTTTTACGGATATACCAGCACATGCCTTGACTGGGCTCCCATATCTCGATCGATCTAAAAGGATCGATCTTTCTTCGAGGGGTTTCTCGCTAAATTGCTTTTAGCTTAAGCGGCTTAGATGTCGTGCACGCCTACTGAAGCTGCGAAACGAAAATTAATTACCCCTAGCAGCCTCAGTAGGCGTGACAGTCATCTAAGCCTCTTAAGTTGATTGTAACTTAGCGAGAATGCCTTCGGATCCACAGTTAGTACGATAGGGTATGGGAATGGTCCCTTCACTGCCCCCCCTCCCCCCC